CCGCAACGGGGCCACGAAAGGCAGCGAGGGAGCCACGAAGGGCCGCAACGGGAACACGAAGGGCAGCGAGAGGGCCACGAAGGGCTGCAACGGGGCCACGAAGGGCAGCGAGGGGGCCACGAAGGGCTGCAACGGGGCCACGAAGGGCAGCGAGGGGGCCACGAAGGGCTGCAACGGGGCCACGAAGGGCAGCGAGGGGCCACGAAGGGCTGCAACGGGGCCACGAAGGGCAGCGAGGGGGCCACGAAGGGCTGCGAACTGGGGCCACGAAACAAAACGGGCCGACGGGGCCACGAAGGGCAGCGAGGGGGCCACGAAGGGCTGAAATGGGACCACGAAGCAAAGCGAGGGGGCCACGAAGGGCTGCGACGGGCCACGAAAGGCAGCAATGGGGCCACGAAGGGCTGCAACGGGGCCACGAAACAAAGCGAGGGGGCCACGAAGGGTTGCAACGGGCCACGAGAACGAAGGGCTGCAACGGGGCCATGAAGGGCAGCGAGGGGGCCACGAAGGGCCGCAACGGGGCCACGAAGAGCAGCGAGGGGGCCCCGAAGGGCTGTAACGGGGCCACGAAGGGCAGCGAGGGGGCCACGAAGGGCTGCAACGGGGCCACGAAACAAAGCGAGGGGGCCATGAAGGGCTGCGACGGGGCCACGAAGGGCAGCGAGGGGACCACGAAGGGCTGCAATGGGGCCACGAAGGGCAGCGAGGGGGCCACGAAGGGCTGCAACGGGTCCACGGAGGGCAGCGAGGAGGCCACGAAGGGCTGCAACGGGGCCACAAAGGGCGGCGAGACCCCGATTATTGAGTAATCTGTGAGGGAGTCCTTTACGTGAGCGCGACTCCTGGGTGCCTGAATGGCGGGAGCGCGGCGCTTGAGTAAATTGCTGGAAATTCCAACAAAAGGGCGCTATTCTTGAGGAAACTGCAAGCAGCAAGTCTCCAGCGAGAGCGCGACTCCAGAGCGCCGAGAGAGCGATTCCTGAATAAATTGTAATTATCCCGGCAAAGCCACCTAACAGCGATGTGTAGGAGCATATCTGGAAGCATTCCCCTTAAGATTCAGATGAGAATCCAGTTGTAGAATTCTGCTGTTCTCGCAGTCGCAGTCGCATTCGCGATGACAGTCGCAGTGGCAACGGCAGTCGCGCAGTGGCAACAGTCAGCAGTGCAGCACAGCCTCAGCAGTCTGCCTTCAGCCTCCTCAGCCTCAGCCTGCCTCAGCCTCAGCCTGCATCAGCCTCAGCCTCAGCCTCAGCCTGCCTCAGCATCAGCCTGCCTCAGCCTCAGCCTCAGCCTGCCTCAGCCTCAGCCTCAGCCTGCTTCAGCCTCAGCCTCAGTCTGCCTTCAGCCTCGGCCTCAGCCTCAGCCTGCCTCAGCCTCAGCCTGCCTCAGCCTCAGCCTCAGCCTCAGCCTGCCTCAGCATCAGCCTGCCTCAGCCTCAGCCTCAGCCTGCCTCAGCCTCAGCCTCAGCTTCAGCCTCAGCCTCAGTCTGCCTTCAGCCTCGGCCTCAGCCTCAGCCTGCCTCAGCCTCAGCCTGCATCAGCCTCAGCCTCAGCCTCAGCCTGCCTCAGCATCAGCCTGCCTCAGCCTCAGCCTCAGCCTCAGCCTCAGCCTCAGCCTGCTTCAGCCTCAGCCTCAGTCTGCCTTCAGCCTCGGCCTCAGCCTCAGCCTGCCTCAGCCTCAGCCTGCATCAGCCTCAGCCTCAGCCTCAGCCTGCTCTCAGCCTGCCTCAGCCTCAGCCTCAGCCTGCCTCAGCCTCAGCCTCAGCCTGCTTCAGCCTCAGCCTCAGTCTGCCTTCAGCCTCGGCCTCAGCCTCAGCATGCCTCAGCCTCAGCCTGCATCAGCCTCAGCCTCAGCCTCAGCCTGCCTGAGCATCAGCCTGCATCAGCCTCAGCCTCAGCCTGTGGCCTACAGTTGGCTCCGGGCATTCAAAATGTGTCCCAGGAATGGAGTTCTGGGAACTCGAAGACCACGAAGTGGCCTACAGTTGGCTCCGGGCATTCAAAATGTGGCCCGGGAATGGAGTTCTGGGAACTCGAAGAACACGAAGTTGCCTACAGTTGGCTCCGGGCATTCAGAATGTGGCCCGGGAATGGAGTTCTGGGACCTCGAACACCACGAAGTGTGTAACTGATTGCTTAAAACGACTTCCGCGGATTCTCCCCGGCACCCGTCCGGCATCTGCCTAGACCCCCCTGGGGAGTCATGATGCTCTCTTCTCAGCCTACTAGAAACCTATCAGTCTTCGCTGTTAGGTGAAGAAGTCCGAAGCGAGAGCGCGATTCCTGAATAACATGCGAGGAAGTCTTGGGCGGGAGCGGGGGTCCTCGCTAAATTGTGAGGAAGTCTCAGGCGGGAGCCGTTGTTGATGTGACCCGGGGGCCAGCAACGCAGTTTGAGGATGAAGATTTTCCATGATAGAAAACAGGGTGCGAGCGCCGGGAGGGGCACTTGAGTTGAAACATACAATGTACACCGGAGGGGGATCAACAATACTTATTCTTGAATAGTGAGAGCTCAACAACAATAACCATAACAACAACAACAACAACAACGACAACAACACCAACAACAACAACAACACCACCAACAACAACAACGACAACAACAACAACAACAACAACAACAACAACAACAACAACAACAACAACAACATCAACAACAACAACAACAAGAACAAGAACACCAACAACAGCAGCAACAGCTGCATCAACATCAACATCAACAGCAGCAGCAGCAACAGCATCAACAACAATCATCATTGTAAGACTTGTCGCTCTTATCTGCTGGCGTGTCAATCAACACGAATATCACCAGCCCTGGATGCCCGCCCGGGGAGGGAGAAGGATGGAGCACGAGAGAGATTTGCAGGAGGAGGGCCAGGAGCAGGAGTACAAGCGGCAGGGCTGGGCGTGCGGGTCGGGTGGGCGGACCCTAGCGGGCAGGTGAGGCGGGCGGGACCAGACGGCCAGATCGAGCGGGTGGGTCGCTGAAGCGTCAATGCGACATGAATCGCGAGGCTTTTTCGAGCGGTGGCGCGATTCCAAATAAATCGTGCGGAAATCCCAGGCGAGAGTGTGATTCCTGAGTCGAATGGGCACGGCGCCGCAATAATGCCTTAGGGAATACCACGCGAAAGTGCGATTCCTGCATAAATTATGACGACGTCACGCGCGAGAGCGCGAAGTTGCACTACGCTATGAGGGAGTATCACGCGGGAGCCGCTGTTGTTGTAAACCGGGGGCCAACAACACAGTATGAGCACCAAGACTTCCCATGAGAAAAAAAGTGCAAGCCCCGAGAGGAGCACTTGAATTGCCAAAACACAAGGTAAACTGGCGGAGGGAGCAACAACCCTTTATCTTTCGAGTTGAAAATTCAACCATCATTCTAAAGCTGTTGGCTCCTGTCCGCTGGCGAACCACTCATCATGTATATTCCAAACCCTCGATGCCCGCCCTCTTCGTCTTCGATCGTGCCCCACTTGAGGGGATATCTTCCTTACACCTGCCGCGTGTAATTAACGCAGCCCCTAGTACAAGGGAAGAGAATATGAAGGAAGCTTCGAGCGATAGCGCGATTTCAAAGAAATCCTGCGGAAATCCCGGGCGAGAACGTGATTCATGAATCGCATGGGCACGGCACCGCAACAAGTTATGAGGAAGTACCACGCGAGAGCACGATTCCTGCAGAAATTATGAGGATGGCCCGGGCGAGTGCGCGAATTTGAACCACGCTGTGAGGAAGTATAAGGCGGGAGCCGCTATTCTTGTAAAAAGGAGGCCAACAACACAGTATGAGCACCAAGACATGCCCTCATTAAAAAAGGGCGCGAGCCCCAGGACGAGCACATGAAATGAAAACACAAGCTGCACCGAAGAGGCGAACAACAGTATAAAGCATTTTAAAATGAAATTCAACAACCTCATCATGACCATTATCAGCATAATCATCAGCATCAGCAGCATCTTCAGCAGCATACCGTCAGAAGCATCATCATCATCATCATCATCATCATCATCATCATCATCATCATCATCATCATCATCATTATCATCAGCAGCAGCATCAGCAACATCTGCATCATCAGCATCCCCATCATCATCATCATCATCATCATCATTATCATCATCCTCACCCTTATTCTCAGCATCGTCGTCGTCATCATCATCACCACCACCACCCTCGCCATCGCCATCACCATCATAATCATCATCAGCATCATCATCAGCATCATCAGCAGCATCATCAGCCTCATCATCGTCATCAGCATCATCGCCACAAACAGCATCATCAACAGCAGCATCATCACCAGCATCACCATCAGCATCATCATCAACACAAGCATCATATTCATAATCGTCATAATCGTCGTCATCGACATCCGAATCATCATAGTCCGCCTCAGCATCATCGTCATCATCATCGTCAGCATCCTGGTCATAATCGTCATCATCATCAGCATCATCGCGATCATGAGAGGCAGCAGCAGCATCATCATCAGCATCATCATGAGCATGATCATCATCATGGTACGCAGCATCATGAGCATCAGCATCGCCATCATAATCATCAGCGTCACCATTATGGTCATCACCATCGTCATCATCTGCCTCATTAGCATCATCACCACCATAATCATCAGAAGCAGCAGCATCATCCTCAGCAGAATCGTCATCATCATAATCAGCAGCAGCATCAGCATCATGATTATCAGCATCAGCAACGGCAGCAATATCATCATCGTCCTCACCCTCAAAATATAATCCTCCATCTCATCATGATCAGAATCAGCATCCTCATCATCATCATCATCGTCCTCATCCCAATCCTCATCATCATCCTCATCGTCGCCACCATCATCATAAGCAGCATCATCATCATCCTCATCCTCATCATCATCATCATCATCATCATCAGCAGCAGCAGCATCATCATCCTCATTATCATCTTCATCCTCGTCCTCGCCTGTGGCCCCTTCTGGCGGGTGAAGGGGCTGGAATTTGCAGTTCCGCACCAGGGAGAAGGGGGACAGCGAGACCTGGGTGTCCTGAACGTCTTGGCCGAAGGAGAAGCCCTCCCGTGCCGCAGCGCGCGCGGGCCCCTGACCCCATCGGGACTTGAGGAGGCGCAGGAGGAGGAAGAGCGGGGAAGAGGCAGAACGGCGCAGAAGGAGCAGACGCGAGCGAGGAGCCCGGGGACAGTGGGCTGGCGTACCGGAGTGGCTCGTCCGAGGGCCCTGAGACCCATGGGGCGCACGAGGACGTACTGGTACTGCGTGTCCTCCTCAGAGCCGTGCGTCCGACCCGAACACGCAGTAGAAAAATGCTGTAGTACATCGTTTTCCGAGCGGCACGACCAGAAAGCGCCCGCCACGACGCATAGACTATAAGATTTCGCGGTGCGCGCGTCGCCCCGGGGGGGGGGGGGGCGACGCACACATAGTATTTGTATTAAATCGGGCCTGTCCCCCTACACGAGATTTCGGGCGAAAAATGAGAATATCAAACAAATCCGCAAAACGAGTCAAAAAATAATAGAAAAATCGTCCCCAGACTGTTCTTGACTATTTCTGAAGATTCATCCTGTAGAGGGACAGGCCCGACTTGATGTCAGTGCGGTGGGGTGCCTCCGAGCCCAGGCTGATGAGAAGCGGTGGCACCGGAAGCAAGCGCTGCGGGAGCGAGGAGGCAGTGGGACAGCGCGCGCGGCGGCTCTGGCGCGGGCGAGGGGCCCTGGCGTCTCGACCAGCACTGCCGCGCACCAGCTGCGCAGCCCTCGCGGACCAAAGAAGAAAGAGTGCGGCACGACCACAAGAGCTCGGAGGCCCCCGCGCGGACATGCGAGTGTGGCTCCTCTGCTCCCCTCCCCTCCCCATCCTTGCCCTCCTCCCCCCCCCGCCTGCCTTCCCCCCCCCCTCCGCAGAGCGGCGCCGTGGACTCGCAACTGCGAACCTTTGCATCTGCCCATGCGCCGTACGAGCGTCGGGCTTGACCGACCGACCGACCGCGGATCTGCTGGATCTGCGCTGGACTCCCCTCCGCGGCGCGCTCCGCGCGCCCGCGGCGCCGCCCAGGGAGTCCGGCGCCGGGGCGGAGCGCGCCCGGAGCGTGCCGGGGAGGGGGGCCCCGCGCCGATGCGAGAGCTGCACGCGGCCCTCCGAGGAGGAACATATGCGTGCGCAAGAGAAGTTGGCTCCGAGCAGAGGCGCTCCGCACCGCAGACCTCCCCCCCAAAAGACTGGGGGTGGGAGCGCGCGCGGAGTCGGCAGAGGCCCAGGCCTCGCCGAGGAGAGGCGGGCGGGGAGCGGCACCAGACGCCCCCGGGGCAGCCTGGCGCGCCCTCGCCAAAGAGGAGAGGCTGGAGGAGACCCGAGGGGGCAGATCATCGACCGTGGAATCCTAGGTTTGAGTCGGGCCTGTCCCTCTACAGGGGGAATATGCGAAAACAGTCAAAAAAATAGTCTGGGGACTATTTGGGGGATTTGTTTAACTATTTTGCAATACTTGTTCGACACTTTTTATTTTTCATCGAAAATCCCCCTGTAGGGGGACACGCCCGACTTAATCCTAGGTCGCCTAACCTCGCTCATCGAGCGCCGCGAGTCTGCCGTGGAATCTTCGGTCACCCAGCTTCGCGTATCGCGCCCCCTGGGGCAGCCCGGCGCCCTCTCCAGAGAGGAGAGGTTGGAGGAGACTGGAGGAAGCAGATCATCGATCGTGGAATCCCCCTGCCATCGCTGGGACGTATATTCCCTGTGCATTTCTCGGTTTCGCGCGAGTTGTTGTTTGTTTTTTTCCGCAGAAGGACCCAAAAGGCTCCTCGATGGCCTTCGCCGAATCAAGAGGTACACGTCCGAGGGATGCCAAGTCCTATAGGTCGCCTACCCTCGCACATCGCGCGCGCCGCTAGTCTATCGTGGAGTCCTTGGTCGCCCAGCTTCGCGCAGCGCGCGACGCAGAGGCTCCTCCTCCTCCTCCTCCTCCTCCTCCTCCTCCTTCTCCTCCTCCTGCTCAACCTCCTCCTCCTCCTCCTCCTCCTCCTCCTCCTCCTCCTCCTCCCCCTCCTCCTCCTCCTCCCCCTCCTCCTCCTCAGGCGCGGAAAGCGCGGCTGCCAAAGGCGCGCGCCCCCGCCTAGCGCTGCCCCCTCCGGAGGGGGGCAGGCCGTCCGCCCAGGGACACGCGGCGCGCGGAGCGCGATGCTGGCTTCGGTCCACCAGCGAGCCTGCTTCGAGCCCTGCACCGCGAGTGCCGGTCGTGACAATCAGCGCGGAGCATCGCGCTGCAAAGCAAGAACAACAGGCATAAACGGCACTGCAGCGGATGCACCCGCAGCGTGTCGCCCCGCTCCGCAGGGCGGAAGGAGTTCAAGTTTTTGTTGAGGCCACATAGCGCGCGTTGTGATGTGGCTGGCTTTAGATCGGGCGTGTCCCCCCATAGGCGGTTTTTGGGCGAAAAGAAAATGCTGACAAAAACTACTCCAAAATTGTCGAGGATAGTCAAAAACATCGTCTGCTGACTACTGTTTGACTTTTTTGAATATTCCCATGTACAGGGACAGGCCCGACTTAAGCCTACCACGACATGTTCTGAGAAACCCAAAAAAGCAGCAAGAACATAAGCAACGTTCTTGAAACATATAAGTCCGATGGGCTCTGTCAACCAAGAAGTCTCTGCCAGAAGTGTTATGACAATGTTTCGTGCAGCCCACAAAAGGCTCTTAGAACATGCTTTGGCAGCCAAGCCAGAGCGCTTCGCCACTGCGCGATGGAGGAGACCTGGGGAACCTCGGCAGTCTGGAGCAAACGTTTGGCGATTGCGGCCTGACGGGCGACGGCGACGGCGGAGAGAGAAAGTCACGAAGCGGACCGAGCGCAGCGGGCCCCCCTCGGCGGCTCGGAGGCCCCCGCGGAGCACCCGCACCGTGCGCGCCCGGCTGGAGCAGACACCCACGCAGAAAGAGCTTCCTCTCTCATCTTGGCGGCGAGCGACGACGACGACGACGACGACGACGACGACGACGACGACGACGACGACTCGGCGGCGAGCGAGGCAGGGAGGTGAGAAAGGGCGGGCCTTCTCAAAGAAGGCGGCGGGGCTTCTCAGGAGCCCCCAGTCCGCCTGAGAAGTTTGCCCCGTGTCTTCGGGGAAGGCGTAAGAAACTTCTGAGAGGGGCAGGGGGCTTCCGAGCCATCTGAGAAGGCCCGCCCCTTCTCACGTCCCCCCCCCCCGGCTCGCCGCCGAGTCGTCGTCGTCGTCGTCGTCGTCGTCGTCGTCGTCGTCGTCGTCGTCGTCGTCGTCGTCGTCGTCGTCGTCGTCGTCGTCGTCGTCATCGTCGTCGTCGTCGTCGTCGTCGTCGTCGTCGTCGTCGTCGTCGTCGTCGTCCTCGTCGTGGTCGTCGTCGTCGTCGTGATCGTCGCCGTCGTCGTCGTCGACGTCGTCGTCGTCGCTCATCCTCCACAGGCGGGCAAACGGTGCGGCACGCGACGGCGTTGTGCGCTACGACACAATATAGGCGAGCTTGTTACGTATGCAGAGCTGCCTGCGCTCTTTCAGGAGGGATCCCCTCCTCCTCCTCCTCCTCCCCCTCCTCCTCCTCCTCCTCCTCCTCCTCCACTTTGGTGCCCGCATCGGAAATGGACCGCCGCAGAGACCAGGCTCCAAAGCACGCAGTGAACAGGCCGCACCGTTTGCCCGGCCTCGGACCCTCGCCCTCCACTCGGCGTCGCGCGCAAAGGGGGTACATTGGGGGAGGGGGGGAGGCTTCTTAGAAGGAGGCTGCTTCTCGGAAGGCGCCGGCCATACGTCTACAGAGCAGGCCCGCGCCTTCTAAGAACCGGGGGTGCTTCGAAGAAGCCCTCCCCCCTCCCCCACCCCCCTCTGCGCGTGGCAGACTGCGCCACCCCACCACGAGCACCCCGACGCGCCCCCACCACGAGCTCCCCGATGCGCCCTCGCCGCGCGGTCGTGGGCCGGCGGCCGTGTCGAGGCTCGGATCTTGGAAAGCCGGGCCCTCACTCGCTCCCGACCGTGCAGGAGGGGAGAGGAGGGCGCATGGCGGGAGGAGGGAGGAGGAGGAGGGGGAGGAGGAGTGAGGAGGAGGGGGAGGAGGAGGGGGAGGCGGAGGAGTAGGAGGAGGAGAAGGAAGAGGAGGAGGAAGAGAAGGAGGAGGGAGGAGGAAGGAGGGAGGAGGAGGAGGAGGAGGAGGAGGAGGAGGAGGAGGGAGGAGGAGCAGAGGCCCCCGTCCCAGCCGGAGGTTCGTGCAGCGGGCAGCGGCGCCGAGAGGAGCCAAGAGGAGTCCCTGGCACAACCAGAGCCGTCAGACGGGGAGCGCACCCTCTGTGCCGCCAGTGCGTGCTGAGTCCAAAGCGTGCAGAGTCTTCATGCTTGTGGAGCCCCGTGATGGTGGCACGTGCAGCCCTGCGTGTAGGCCCCCCATGCGTGTTGACCCCCATCCGTGCGGAACCCTGCGCGTATGGAACACCAGACGAGGGGAGCCCGGAATTGGGAAAGCCCGATGTGCGGAACCATGCGCCCCATGTGTGGAGCCCCATGCGTATGAAGCACAACGAGTGGAATCGCATAGTGTGGAACCTTTTGACCGTGGAGCCCTATGCGAATTTAACCCCCAGAGTGCAAAGCCCTGCGGACCTCCACTTGCAGGGCCAGTTCCATTTAGCACAAAAATAAATATGTGTGCACGTACTGCTTTGGGCAATACATTGAATGTCGGCTGGTCTCACGAGGAACGCTCCTTCTTACGCGTTGCCCTCCTCCTCCGAAGCTCAAGGTATTCCGCAGAGCGGGAGCTGGCAGCAGAAGAACGCGGTCAATGCAGCAAGAATACTCGAGACTGCCAGGGAGCGAATGAGACAACATGGTGGTGGCAGACACGCCGCCGACCCCTCGTGCCAGAAGCCCTGCACTCCCTCCCCACGTTGACGTAGAGGGCGAAGCTGACTGCTTCTACCTGGAGGAGGAGAAACCATCCTTATCCTTATCTCCAGTCCTCGTCCTCCTTTCCCTTTGCTCATCCTCCTCATGCTCTCCCTCCCCCCTCCTCCCTGCTTCCCCCTCCTCCCTCCTCCCTCCTCCTCCTCCTCCTTCTTCTTCTTCTTCTTCTTCTTTGCCCACTCCAATTGCACGCAACTGGGCGCAAGCGAGATGGCACCTACATGCGCGCGCTCGGTCTCAGTGGCAACAGCAACCACTCAACGCATGGGCGAATTACCCGAGCAGCAGAACGGCCCGACGGACCGAGGCGTATGCTCGCGTTCTCTGCACGAGATGGCCCTCCACAATGTGCACAGCGTGCGCCAGAAGGCCCAGTGCGACCCAGCGAGCAGGGGCAAGCGACGAGGCCGACAGGGGAAGCGGAAGCGGCGAGCAGAGGCACGCGGCCACCTTGTCCTCGGTCGACAGGTGCCACAGCTCGCCCTGCCCAGGCGCATCGGAGTGCGAGAAGCTGGAGCGGCCAGCTGCTTCCAGATGATCAGGAGCGAGGAGGAGGAGGAGGAGGAGGAGGAGGAGGAGGAGGAGGAGGAGGAGGAGGAGGAGAAGGGGGAGGAGGAGGAGGAGGAGGAGGAGGAGGAGGAGAGGGAGGAGGAGGAGCAGCAGCGGGATGGGAGGCGGGAGCAGCAGCGGAAGCGACCACTCTGGTGGGAACAACCTCTCCGCGGCTCGCGCCGGCCTCTCTTTGCCAGTAGGGGTCAAATTTACACACACACGCACACACACTCTCTCTCTCTATCTGTCTCCCCCCCTCTCTCTCTGCCTCTCTCTCCCCTCCCTTCTCCCATTGCACCCCCATGCCCCCCGTGCAAGATCTGAAAGTCTGCTCCCTCCCCTGTGCCCCTTCCCTCCCCCCCCTGCCTTTTCCACCTCCGCGGGAACACGGAGAGGCCCCCGTCCGCTGGCAGAAACAAGGCAGCTGGCGCAACGCTGCCAACAGCGCTGCTCCCCGGGGCGGGGCCACACTCCCCGATCCTCGCCCTCCTCTACAACTGCCCGTACCACTACTGCAAACATGTCTATGAAACGTATACACCGACTGCCGATGCTACGAATAAGAATACTGCGACTGCTAGTGCTACTGCTGGGCAACGAAACACATTCAATCTGCAGACCCCTTGGGTTTCATCGGCGTGTGAGGTGTTTCCCCCTCCCCAAACCCCTCCCCCAGGAGCCCGGTCCGGTCGATTTGGAAAGGAGGGGTCCCCCGGGCTCTGGGTGAACGCACCTGGGAGGGCAGAGGGCCCAAAAACAGGCCAAGAGGACCCCAAGAGGCCCTTGGGGCGGTCCACGAGGGCCACGCGTCGCTAAAAGATCGATCCAAAACGCCCACGCTGGCCTCCAGACGGCCCAAGAGGCCCCCAAGACGCCCTGAGAAGCCCTCAAGAGGCGTCCCAAGAGAACTCCAGAAACAAAAACCATCTCATTCCATTTGGAAAACGTGCATTTTTAGCGCATTCGCCTCTTGGGCTTTCACAACGTCCCAGACGGCCCAAGAGGTCTTCAAGATCGCCCCAAGACGGGCCAAGAGGCCACCGAGAGGGCTCCGAGACGACCCAAGAGGGCCCTAGACGGCCCAAGAAGCCCCCAAGACGGCCCAGGAGGGCCCCAGGACAGCCCAAAGAGGGGGCCCCTCTTTCTCCTCCTCCGTCACCTCCTCCTCCTCCTCCTCCTCCTGCACCTCCTCCTCCTCCTCCTCCTCCTCCTCCTCTTCCTCCTCCTCCTCCGCCTCCTCCTCCTCCATCCTCTTCCCTTCTAAACAGCTCCTCCTTGTGGCACCCCCAGAAATGTGTTTGCAGGGCGAGCCGGGCGTTTCGCCTGGGATTTCCTCGCCACTTCATGAACCTGAAGCTTGCAATATGCAACAGCTTCACGGATGAGGGCGGATCGTTTTCAACATGTGGCTCTCGCCTTAGCGCCGCGCACATGCGCCTGAGACGTTCGCAAAAGTTTCCAGGATGGAGGGCAGCTCATTTCCAACATGTGGCTCTCCCTCAGCGCCGCACACATGCGCCTGAAACGTTCGCAAAAGAGTTTCAAAAGATGGAGGGCGGCTCCTTTCCAAAGTGTGGCTCTCGCCCTAGCGCCGCGCACATGCGCCTGAAACGTTCGCAAAAGTTTCCAAGATGGAGGACGGTTCGTTGTCAGCATGTGGCTCTCGCCTTAGCACCGCGCACGTGCGTCTGAAACCTTCGCAAAGGCTTCCAGGATGGAGGGCTGATCGTTGTCAAAAAGTGGCTATTGCCTTAGCGCCGTGCACATGTGCCTGAAGCGTTCGCAAAAGTTTCCAAGATGGAGGACGGTTCCTTTCCAACATGTGGCTCTCCCTCAGCGCCGCATACATGCGCCTGAAACGTTCGCAAAGGTTTCAAAGATGAAGGGCGGCTCGTTTTCAACATGTTTTCTGGCACGGTTTGGAACTGTCAGGGCGCAATTGTTTCGTTGATTCGCGGTCAATTCCCAGGAATGGTGTTCTGGCACGGTTTAGGATTTGTCTGGACGCAACAGTCATGCTGATCCGCGGCGGTAAAGTCACAGGAATGGTGCTGTGGCAAGACTGAGGACTCTCAGACGTTTCGCTTCTAATGGGCCACCGCTCGCGATGACAACTGATTATAGGGACCTTTGGCGGAGGAACTTGGAGAGAGGGCCTACAGCAACATCGTCGATGAGTGTACACCCTCCTAATCCTCCTCCTCCTCCTCCTCCTCCTCCTCCTCCGCCTCCTCCTCCTCCCCTTCCTCATCTTGATATTAAAATGATTCGTAGTCTTATTATCACTGTTATAAGTATTCCTCGCATTCGTAATTTTATTATCAGTATTA